CATGAGGACCTTAGCTTTGTCATTCCACCACACCCCTTCAATAGTAAAATTTCATGTATTATAATGTTTGCCTGTTAAAAAAGAATAACATCTTTCTATATTTATTAGTAACAACAATTTAACTTCAAACTTCTCATTTTACCCTTAGCAAAATGATTTATCATCTCACAAATATAAATCTGTAATTTGTTTTAGTCTACAAGTTAAAAAAATCTTCGTTTCATTCTAAAATTTCGCATCCAGCCAAATACCTTCACGTAAATCAAAACAGAAGGAGTACCATTTACCCTAACTTACCCATCAATGTTTATATGATACTCCCTCCGTCCCATTTTATATAAGGTGGTTTGACTCTGCACGGGGTTTAAGAAATAAATGAAGACTTTTAAAACTTGTGATCTAAAATGAATGATAGAAATTTGTGTGACTGTAAATCATTTCATTAAGGGTAAAATAAATATTTTATAATTAAATTGTTACTTAATATAGAAATGTGTCATTCTTTTTTGCATTGACTAAAACGGAAAGTAAGTCACAGAAATTGGGACAGAGAGAGTATATAAATACTTGCAATTTGAAGGAGTTGTTTTTAAGGTGGAAGTAGTCACTAGACTGTCTACATCACACCTCTTAAGGTGCGATCCTTTTCCAGTCCCTGTTAACACAAAGTGCTTTGTGTATCAAACTGCCCTCTGATCTTTTTATATACATTGATTACGAGTGATCTGATTGTATAAATATTTTTTTTATTGTGTAGGGGCACATACATTTGGAAGAGCAAGATGTAGAACATTCAATCAAAGACTTTTCAACTTTAGTGGAAGTGGTAGACCTGATCCTACTATAGACCCTAATTATTTAAAAACATTACAAAGACTTTGTCCACAAGGTGGAAATGGTGGTACTTTTGCTAATCTTGATAAATCAACCCCAGATGAATTTGATAATTATTATTTTACAAATCTTAAAAATCATCAAGGATTACTTCAAACTGACACTATAAGAAATTTGATTATTAAGGACGAATTATTTTATCACTTAAAAATCATATTTCGTCACAAAAATAAATTTATGACAAAAAATATTTCGTCAATCTTTCGTCTCTAAACGCTCGTCTCTAATAGTATATAAAGACAATTTAGTGTGTCGTCACTGAAAGTCTTATATTAACTACAAAAAGAATATTTGTCCCCAAATGCATAGTATTTGCAACAAACTTATTTGTCATAAAAATGTAGATATTTTGTAGCTAAAAATGTCATATCGTCACTAAAAGTGTGTCTAATAAGGACAAAATTTATTTGTCACTAATTATTAATTTAATTAGTGACGAGCTTGATCGTCTTTAACGTTATGCATAATAATTTCATGGTTGAAAAAATATTTTTGGCAGATAATAGGCGGTATTAATGATGAATTAATTTGTAGTTAAAAATATAATTATTATTGTAATTATTTTTGTCACTAAATTATATCACTTCGTGTTAAATAAAAAAGTAGCAATAGGGTTACTTATTTTTTATCCAAAGAAGATATTTTTGTGACCTAATATAATTCTTATAACATTTAATGCTATGTAAATAAATATGTACTTAAACTATTTGTTGTTAATACATGTCAATTTCAATTGTTAAAGTACGCAATCTATGTAAATAAAAACATCATAAAAAAATAATATACCAAAAAAACATAAATAAAAACACCGTATATTATAATAATTTGTAGATAACACTTGCATACAAACTCATTAAGTAAATAAAGTGAAATTACTCAAACAAAAATAGATAAATCTAATTGAGGTACGAAAACAATAACAAATTTAAAAATATAAAACTATGTAGTTTCCTTGTATACCAGTGCTCCATTATCTTACATTTTCACTCATTCACTTTTTTACATCTTCATCATTCATGTACCTGTGTAAAAGAAAATAAAGAATTTTAGTATTCAAACTTTAATTCTAAAAATACTTTTTGATATCATGATGTAAACAAAATATGTATTCAAACTTTAATTTTAACAATAATATTAATTAGTGAACTAAATTATAAAATGAGAATATATGAAATAATTTCTTCTATTCAAAATTATTAAACATTCAAGTATCACAATCAATAAAAACTTATCTCCTTATTGAAATGGTGTCAAGAATTTCTACATTCAATCAACACCAAGTAAAAGTTGAATAACAATTTTGTAAAATAATTGTTCCTCATACTAATTGAAACAAATATTTAAAAAGTTATAGAGCATTAACAAATGCTAGATGGACATAATTTGGGATACTAGATAAAAGAAGGAAAAGAAACGAGAGAGAGCAGTAAAATACCCATAGGAATGGAATGTAGTATTTGTATTCTAGTTGGTTTTTTAGATTTAAGTGGATATATTTTAATTTATTAATAATTCTAAAAAGGAGGAAAAAAAGTGAGTGGGTAGTTTCATGTAACGTGGGATGGAAAATGGGGAATGAGTGAAGGAAATTTAATGCATTGAAAGTGGAGGGAAGATCAAATACTTAAAAGTTAAATTTTATTTTTTTACTTTTACTATAATATTTTAGTTTTAAAATATAAATTCTCACAACTATGATTTCCGTCACTTAATGGGTTTCCATTAACTACTAAAATTATTTAATTTGATTGACATAATCAAGTAAAAATAGTATGTCAATTATACTCCATCTATATAGATAAATTTAAAAAAATGTAAATTACATTCAAATAGATAAATAATAAAATGAGAATAAAATTTGGTATCTATTTGACAAAAATTATTTGTCGCAAAATTATATGTTAAAATAGAGACAATAATATTATCATCGCTAATTATTTAAATTATTAGTGACAAAAAATAAAGTCACAATTAAATGTAAAATTTGTAGTTAAATTTTACAATAATTAAGTACAAATTGTAATTCGTCGCTATTGAATCATCATAGTTTTAGTGAGCATTTTCGTGCCCAAATATAGATTATTTTAGGACAAAAGATGATTTGTCATAAATTGGGTACATCATTTAGTGACAAAATAATGTGTCATTGATAACTTTATATTTGTAACTAATAGTACTCAATAAATGGCGCCAACTTATTTTTTGGTGGGAAATTTTAATAGACAAAAATTTGCTACGAAATTTTATGTTTCGTCACTTAAAGTATTGGTCATAGATCTTTAGCAACGTAATATGATTTTCTTCATTAAAGATGAACAATTAGTGACGAATTTCATGTTGTAGCTAGTAATTTCATAGCTAAATATCATATTTGTTGTAGTGTGATCAAGAGTTGTTTTCTACATCTGGATCTGGTACAATTGCAATTGTGGCTAATTATGCAAATAATCAACACAAGTTCTTTGATGATTTTGTATGCTCAATGATTAAATTGGGAAATATTAGTCCACTAACAGGTACTAATGGAGAGATTAGGAAGGATTGCAAGAGGATTAATTAATGAAATCCTATTTAATTTATGTATGTATGTTTGTTATTTGCTTTTGGTGTAAATGTAACGTGTAATGATACTCCTGTAAAGATAGGAGTAAAGTCTGCGTACGTTTTATTCTGGATATGTTGTTGTTTGTTGTAATGTGTGGTGAAATAGCAATGTTCCTAAATAAGACAATGTTATTGCTAAAATAACAATTCCAATAAGGATTTTTACCATCTATTCATTTTGGAGTACTTCAAGTTATTCTTGTTTTTTTTTTTGTTTTTTTAAACTCAATTGTATCGTCGAACTATGAGAAAAAACTAATCTATGTCATCTGTAAAAGTTTGGCTCATCTATGTCATTTTCATTTGAGAAAAGGCTTATCCATGCATGAATTAACTTTTTTTTTCAAACGAAAAATGACGTAGATGAGTCAAACTTTTAACGAATGACATAGATGAGCCTTTTCTCAAAATTTTACGGCATATTTGAGCCTTTATCCTTAAATTTAGAATAAAGAATAAGATTGAAATGATATAACGATAATGCATCCACGTATATTACACGTGTTTAGAGGCAAATAATGAGGAAATGAGATAAGACCAAGTACATAGTACGATTTGTATTGCTCATTGTACATCATGATCGTTCTTCTATATAACAGAAAATATATGTCAAATCTTTCAATTTTATTTTTTTTAAATTCCACATTGGTACAATAATATGTTTAAAGAATTAGATTAGGATAATACCTTATTTAGTAGTCCTTCATGTGGTGACTTATTTTGACATAGTCAACTAAATCATGTATTTGTAATTTGCTCAATTAGTGTTCATTTAATGCATTTGACAACTAGTCATAATTCATAAAATTGACCAATTTATGAAAATGTTTTCATCACATATATGATTATAATTGATGTTTAATTAATTATTTACTAATATACATATTGATTTTTTAATGTTTTAATATTACATACACTACTAGAAAAACACGAATTTTTCGATGGAATTTATTTAAAAAGTTACCTGTTGAAAATATTAGATTTTTACGGCATTCCAATAGACTGTTTGTCGAAATTCATGTGTTTTTAGCAGTAATAAAAATCATTTGCACTGCCAGTGTTATAGTAAAGTACATGTGGCTTATTTATATCTAAATAGGATTAACTGAAAATATTTTAAAAAAACTATCAAGGGTTGATGTGAGATGAAAGTTCCTTCATTCTGATTAAGAGATTTCGGATTTGAGTTGAGCTTTTGGAATGAAAAAAATCAGATAGAGAGTCATTCACCCTTTAATAAGACTTAATTATGAGGTGTGAATCCAAAATGATTAATTAAGACCTTGAAATGAGTATCAAACACTTAATGAGGAAACAAAAATAATAATCAAGAAATTAATTAAAGGAGAGTTTTGAAAATGACCTTTGAATCTTGTCGTATTTAACATGTTTTGGAATTTAAAAGTTACTAAATAGTAAGTGACGTTTTTTTTTAAACAACCTAAAATGAAAAGTAAGACAGATGAATTAAAACAGATCGAAGTATATTATAAAACTTGGTATTGCTTTTTAGCATACCATTCTTATTTATTTAGGATTGCTATTTTAGCACATATTACATTTAAACAAAAGCAAAATTACACTTGATCAAGACATTATAGTATCTCTCTTTTGGTACATAAACATAAACACAATTTATCATGCATATATTATAACTTATAAACCACTCCTAATTAACTAATTAACCCTCTTACAATCAGTCCTAATCTCTCCATTAGTACCCGTTAACGCACCGATATTTCCCAATTTAATCATCGAGCTAGCAAAATCATCGAAAAATTGAGTCTGACTACCCGCGTAACGATTCACTATCGCGATTGTATCGGATCCCGATGTCGAAAATAATTCTTGATCTGTTTGAAGTAGACCTTCTTGATTTTGAAGATTTATGTAATAGTCATTATCAAAATTATCTGGAGTTGTTTTATCAAGATTTTCAAAAGTATTTCCATCGTTTCCTTGTGGACAAGTTCCTTGTAGTGTTGGTAAATAAGTTGAGTTTATTGTTGGATCAGGGCTACCACTTCCATTAAAGTTGAAAAGTCTTTGTTGAAATGTCCTACATCTTGCTCTTCCAAATGTATGTGCACCTAAAAATAATAATATTTATACGATCAGATCATCTGAAAGATGTTAACTAACATTATAACAGATAACTTAAAAATAATGATATAGCTGATAGTATAAAGATTCTTTATACTGTCAATGTCAATTTAATTCCTTTGACAATCTAGAAGTCAAAGTAATAGTCATCTGAATTAAATTGACTAGTTTTATATAGACTGTCAACCTATATATTATCAACATTTCGCTCTTATTCAAAGGTCTCAAGTTTGAAATCTAGAAAGTACTTTTCGACTCCGTCTTTGAAAAATAATTAACTAGTGAAATTTCATATTTTGTCACAAGTGAAACTTCATGATATTGACAATGACTATTTCTTAATTACATGGTTGAAAAATGACCATTTGTGAATTTTATCCATGTAATTTTGTTGGGCGAAAGGCGCCTATAGAGAAGGGGTGTGGTGGAATAGTAAAAAAAATTCATATCTCATAATCAGAGACCTTGAGATTAAATCCTTGAATAATTATAATCCTTTTTTATGATAGAAAATGCTAAAATCTTTATACATGGTAGTTTTTTTTTTAAAAAAATACGTGAATTCAAATTAATCGAACCGATCAATTACCTGATAGAGCAACAAGATCAGTTATATCCATTCCCTTGTTGGTGAATTGTGGTCTCATAACATCAAGACTTTCAACTGGGCTTGGGATATCACTATCAACTCCAGTTCTATTTGCTGTTAAGCTATCTCTTCTCCCTAAAAGAACTTGCCATGTTGGACCTCCAACCTGAAAAAATTAAAAAAATTAAACTAATCACACAAATACAGGTTTGAACTAAAGTTAATGAGTTCGGTCAAATTTATAATTCGTATTCTTGTAATGTTTCTGTTAATGATTGTGGTAGATTGAATAAGATTTCTCTTTTCTTAATCAAATGTATCCCAAGTTTCAACTCTGGAATGAAAAAAAAAAATCTAGTGGATATCGCTTTGGCCTTTCATCGTAAACAACTTCTCTACTTCACAAGGTAGGAGATGAGATTAATAAACACTCTATCAGTCTCTCCAGACCACTTCTGGAATCATACTGGATATGTTGTTGTTATTGTAGCACTATATCCACTTTAATGGTCTTACACAGAGGCAGAGATAGATCCAGAATTATTAATTTATTGATTCTTGACCATGATTTTTTTTTTTTTGCTTATTGAATTTTGAATAGATTAGGATTAGAGTCAAAACTAATGAATTCTGCGAACTCTTTAAATTCAAATTAATCAGAATATTAAAATGAATATCGAACACTAGACATTTTTTTAGAGAATTGTGGACTTACCAAGGCAACTCCGATTTCAGATGCAAGAGCTAAAATATCAGCACAAGATACAACACCGGGGCACACATTTTCCAATGCAGTTTTAATATCATCCACAATTTCAAATCCTCCAGCACCAACATTTGCAGCTGCATCTTTTTCACTTATAATCCCAGTTGCATTATCTAGCAAAATAGATCCATCACAACCCTGTAAAAAATAAATAAATATTATCAGTGTAGTTTAATCTATGATAATTTATTAATTATTATTTTTATCAAGTTATTATGAATTGATATATCATCATAAATGACCTGATTATACAAATATTCATAAAAAGAAAATATAAAAATTGTACACCGACAAGGTAATTTTTTGTTTGTCGCTATCAGGTTAGACTTGCATGATATAATAATAAGTAACTCTACATATCATGCTTAATATGATAATCTAGAAAATAGAATAATAACCATATATAACTTAGGAAACTTATATGGATAGTGTAACTATATATAGCGTATATAACTTAAATCTTTAATTAAAAAATAAAAGGGTGACCAATCTACTATTTTTATGCAAATGTTAAACTACACTATGTACTATATATAGTGTATACTAACTTATAATAATAAATTGACACACATAAACATGCATAAAAAAATCACGTACATTAACGAAGCAATCGTGAAAATGAAGGCGAATAATTTTGGCACCAGCACGAACATCGGTACGTTGAGTTTGTTCCATGACACCACGTACAACTTCAGTAACATTAGGGCAAGTAGTAGCATAAAATGTAGAACTTAATTGAGCATTCGATGCTACGAAAATTGAAATCAAGAAGAAAATTGGAACAATAAATCTCAAAAAAGACATTATTGATGAGTGATGACAACTTTTTTATTTCTTTTTCTTTCAAGAATACTCAAGAAATTAAGTTGTTATATTTTAGATATTCATTTTGGTTGCTATTTATAGAACATAGACATATAGTAATATCATTATCAATGTAATAATTATATAAAAAAAAATAGGGAGACAAAGGCAAATATTAGCAGCCTATATGACTATTCTAAGAAAACGAGTGAAGAAAATCATTGATTAGATTATTTTATTTTATTTTTTTCAAGTTAGTTATGAAGTTTCAATTTTTGCATTTAATTAAAATCTATAAAATTGGGCCATATATGGAAGACTAGTCTAATTAAAGAATTTAATTGGCACCAACTTGTGATTGTATAGTCCAAAGACTTGTGAAGTTATGAAAAGATTTCATTAATTATGTAAAATAATAGAGATTGGAATAAATATTTGGTTTGATTTAGAGGGATATGTTTTTAAAAAAATAATCCATGGGGTATGTTAAAAATAAAATTTAGCCTAGACTTTAACACGAGTAACACGGGGCACGTAAAATTCTATTCTAATCAACAATGAAGGACAACCTTATAAGGTTAAAATAGCACAAGTAACATGAGGCACGTAAAATTTCATACTATATGCATATAGTAAACTAGAACACAAAATCGTAATTTAGTGAAAAAAAGTGTTGAAAAATGAACCAGCGACTCATAAGCGTGGCTTGATTGATGATAATTATAATCATTACCACAATAGTCAAAATGTTGGACTTATTTATATATGATTGGAGAAAGAATGTACATATAATATAAATTAAATTATGTCACATAAAATAGTAAAGTTCATAAAGTTATATATATATGTAATCAATATAAGGAATTTTTACATCATCAAACATATATATTTATCTGTTATTGCAGATAAACTACTTTATTTTCAAAATTACAAATTTTAAGAAAGCTTAGCTATAATATCTTTTAAGCAATGTAATAGTATAATTTATTTATTTTACATTGACAGTGAATATTATAACTTGAACCCAAATTGTTTGAAGAGGAAAAAAGTTATATGATCAATATTTGACTTAAAAGGAAACAAGTCAAATTTATAGCTTGATTAAACAATATCATCATGATTAAGACAAGTGAATTCCTTTTGATTTTACCATAGATCAAATTAGGTAATATTTATGGGACTTATGATTGACTTCAAAACTACTAAAGAAAAAACTCAAATTTACGACGGAATATTTCGACAAAATCCATTAAAAATTGACTTGTCGGAAATATTCTATTGGAAATTCCATATTTCTAATGGCATTTCGATGAGAACGTCTCTCGAAAATTCACGTTTTTAATAATGTTTATTTTTTTTTCTAACCTAATAATTAATGAATTGGTTAAAGAATGTACATCATGAAATCACAATCAAAGAAACACGTACCAAGAACTATATTTAAGAAAATGCCAACTACTTTTTTTTTTAACATGAAAGTTGTGTCTTTTATTTGAACAAATTAATCAAATGTACATCTGGAATATAGTGCTAGTAAACACGAGACCCGGCCCGCAATCCCCGGGTCGGCCCACTTGTCAGGCTTATATTTGGCTCAAAGGAACGAAACAAGTTATATTGTCGAATGATCGGTTGGATACATCACTTTTATGTGATGTGTCGGAACGTACGCAATGTATCGAGACGTTGAGTGATGTATTCGAAACGGAAATGCGATGTATCCGGACGTTGGAGGATGTATCTGAAACCAGAACGTGATATATCGGGATGTTTTGATATATCCTGATCCCATCAAATTTAAGAGATTTTTGTAATTTAGAAAAGAATAGGAATAAAATGTGATTGACTATAATTAACACTATGGGATTTATGTAAAATCTACCGAAAAATAAGTTATATATTGGTGTGTGAGGCCTTCCGAAAGGAAAAAAAAGTGTGGTTTTGAAAGAAAAAAAAACGAATAATATTACATAATATAAATAATATTTTTAAATTGTCTTAGCTCAACAAGTGATATCAAAAGCTAATAATTTAACGAATTATTATGAATGGAAAAATGATACCATAGAGCTCGACTTAGTGTCTTTACCTTAACTTCTTGTGTGTGAATTATGAAGAAGTTATCATGATATTCCTTTATTATAATGTTGTAGGTGAAACGATATATAAGTTAATGCATATATATCGTGTAAAAAATTGTGCAAATTCAATCCAAAAAATGAATAAATATCACATGACATTAAAGTATTTTTATTTTAGCCTAACAAGTGGTATCAAAATCAATAATTTAATGAATCGAGTGTATTGAAGATGGCACAATGATATCATGGAGCTCGACTTACTGTCTTTGCCTATCTACGAGCCAGTCTACTACCATATTTTGTGTGAACTATGATGATGTCATAACTCATAATGATATTCATTGTATCAGATTGTAGCTTGGTGTAACGAAATATAAGTTACATAATGTAACAATACTAGTGCATGTGACGCCTTTTGAAATTTTTTTATGTAGATTTATTCTAAAACGAGCAAAATATCAAACAAGGGTAAAAGTACTTTTAGACTGTTTTAGCCTAACATGTGATATCAAAGTTAATAATCTAACGAATCGAATATAAAGATAGTGAAATAACACCATAAAACTCGATGTACTATCTTTGCTTGTCTACGAGCCAGTCTACTACCTTACAAATTTCTCTTAGTATTCCTTTTAGATCTGCAATGTTTATTTGCATGCATGTGGTGCTGCAGTAATATTCCTCTATTTTCTATTTTTTGTCGATAACCTCAGACCAGTCAATTAAATATTGATTAATATGGAAAACGATTAGTACCCTTAAAAAAAGAGTACAATAATTGTTACCAAAATAGTATCATATTCTCGTAAATTTATGAATATTCACAAGCAATAGAATTAAAAATACATAATTTAATTAATTACAGATTTAATATGCTTCATCAGATATCAGAAATAATAAAAATAAATTTTATTAATAATTGAGGGACTGAAAATGCTATTCAACCATTTCTACTTTAACTTTATATGACTTTGAAGTGAACAAGTCTAATTTAGATATTGATAAAAAACAAATATGATTTTGAATTTTTACAATAATGTCAATTTATATATTTGGACTTTATGTTTACTCCAAATTTACTTGTCTCACCTAATTATGAATTGATTGAATAATAGTATACATATAATTATTAAGAATCACTATAAAAGGAATAGTAGAAGTATTTAAGAAATTTGCCAGCTATACTTATTTTCATTAAATTCTTTATCTTTATTTTTATTGAAAAAGTCAAAATGCATGTGTCTATACAATTGACAAATTTGAATAATTAAGTGAGAATTGTCAAATTTGCCACTCAAAAACAAAGAAAAAGTGAACAATATCATTACATTACTACAAATCAGTCAATTTTTAATGAATACATTTCGATTAAAATCCATCAAAAAATTAATATTTATGAAAAAATCTTGGAAAAATCATTCATCGAATATGCTTCTAACGAATTTTCCATTATAAATTTCAATTTTTTGATGAATTTAATTTCTAACAGACGGGTCGTTAAAAATTGAATTATTTCTTGTAGTGTCAGTGTGTCACACACATGCTACTTCATTTTTGATGGAAATAATACATTTATTTGGGAAAAGTACTATCTACTATAAGACTTGTACATTACTCATTTGGAAATTAACTCTTACATGATTATTATAAGGATAAGTTCATGACACGTCATAGGCGGATCTACGATATTGAAGTTTATAGATCTAGAGTTATAATTTATGAGTTTTGAAGTTTATTATATATATATTCGGTATATTTCTTGACAAAAATACAAGGTTTAAAATTCATATTTACTGGTTTGATCTTAAATATTTTTAACACTGAATTCATTGCACTTTTAAAGTTATGAGTACAAATACGATATTTGTTGAAATTTTGATGAATTCTCACACAAATATATATTTATGTTTCACGTTGAAAATGTTGAATTTAAATATAATCTTTCATGTATTGAAGAAATCATTTTGTATATTTATCTAAAGCAATTAAAAAATACAAATTGAAACAGATGAAATCAAAGGGCATTACTTGAATACTACTTCAACTACATGTGAAGAAATAATCAAAAGAATAATTTATTAGAATCATTAACTATATATAGACTTAGAATACATGAATTATTCTTGGTTTTGATCTCCAAATTAAGTTTTCCTAAATGACATATATTTAAAAAATAATAATTACAACTTGATATATAACTAATCATTAATTATGGAATTTTTCCTATGAATACGTATCTTTTTGTGTGTGAATAAAAAGAAGTCTTAATATTCCTTAAATTTTATCTGCATGGCTGACTTTATGGTATAATAATAATTAGAACTCCATAGAATATTCTTATACTAATAAAGTCACTTGACTGCAGTATTAATAGACTTATTTGTATTTTGAATCTTCCAAATTTTAACAAGAGTTTTTTTTTTTTTGTATTTTTGTGAAAAAATATTTTTTCAATTTTTTATTTATTTTTGATTGATCATAATGTTTTGAAAAGTATTTTTTAAGTTTCTTAAAATATGATTTTTATAATGAAAGTAGGAAAAACAAGTTTCATTAGTGAGATTCCAAGCTTATTGTATCTTTCCCAACCCCCACTTCTTGACCATCCCACACCTTCGAACCCACTCTTCACATCAGCGGCGGAGTAAGAAATTTACTAAGAGATATCAAAATATATAAAAAGTAGATACATGTAAAAGAAATGAGAATCAACACATAGTATATATACATAAAACTAAAATTTTAACCTAAAACAACGAAATTTCCGGTGAATGCGTATCATCCCTTTAGTATAAGGTGGATCTGCCACTTTCCCACCCCATGTCACACATATAATGTGTGGGATAATATTTTTTTGCTTAATTGCCGAACACTAGAAAATAACTAAGAAATTAATTTGAACAAAACATTGTCTTAGGAAAATAAATTACATTGTGCAAGTTATAATATTATAAGACACAAAGTGGGTGATAAGTTTATTTTATATTATAT